AATGGCAGCAACACACACACACACACACACACACACACACACACACACACAAATTTCTTCTATATGATTTTTAAATTGTAACTAAAAGAAAACACTACTCTTCTACTATTTTATGCTCACAATCTGCAAATATATGTCTATAAACTGTCTAGAACCATGAGTGTTTTGTTAGCCACAGCCACACATCTGAGGAAGACAGGAAGTGGACAGTTTAAGTTGTTACTAGCACTCTGTCCTTTTCCTTGCAATACTTAAAGTTGTGAGCCAGTTGTTTGTGAGTGGGAAGAAAGTCGTCAAGGCCCACAAAAATATCTGCAACTTTTGATGCATAAATTATACATTTTGTAACCTATCTTGAGGAGATATTTGTGAATTTGAAATAAATTAGGCAATCAACTACTAAAGTACTGCTAAACATAGTGTGGATAAAAAATATATCAAATATCCAGCTGTAGTGAAATTATTAACTTCTGAAGAAAACCCAGAATGGAAAATACGTAAAAAAGGATGCTCAACTCAGAATGGCATAATGGACATTAAGGATGAAGCCACGCAGGAGTGTTTTCAGTGAAACATAAGGCAGATCATGCCTTACAAAAGCTTTATAAATTTATAAAATATGACAACTAACTGTAAAATGTCAGTTTTAAAATTAAAAAGAGCGACCCAACACCAAACAATGAAAATGGTTTTTCATGTAATAAATGTATGAGCAATTTTTAAACTTCCTTTCTCTAATTTGTAGATGTTGTTCCATACGTATTTATATATACATATATATTAATAAATATAAACATCAACAATTAAACTTAGCTCATGTGTTAAAGCTTAACTAACATAAGTCTCATCCCTTGCCTTCTACTGTCAAACCTGCATTAACAAAAAGATTATAAAATGTCTGTGAAATGTAGAAGTATATAGTGAAATGTTTCCCAAAGCATTTGAGAAAATACACAAATAACTTATCATTCCTAAAATATGAGGGACAAAAATATACTGATATGTTCATCAACATCTCTGTTATTTTATTCATCAGCATATTACAATCAATGTTATGGAAACCCTACTTTCCAAAAAATTACTTATATAAATAGAGGTAGAAATCTATGCTTTGCTTCATATAGTTCAAATACCTTTCCTTTTCTGTCATTTATTTCAATACATGATATTACAGGATGAATAATTTATTTTCTGTAAGTTCTACTTTTGATTGCTTCTTATTGCCCGTGTCAAGTGATTCATGCATTCTTAATTTGTTTGAAATGTTTAGAACACTGAACAGTGTCCCCTGCTTAAAAGGCCATATCTTTGTCCTCCAAACCTGTAAGTATCACCTTGCGGCAAACACACCTTTGCACAAGTGATAAAGAGCCTTGGTATGAGGAGTCTGTGTGAGCACCCACGTGCGTTTTAGACAGGGGCAGGAGGGCAAGAGTTTGAAGGGACATGAGTGGGGAGCAGAAGTCTGAGGAAAGAGAAGACAGACTTAGAAACGGTACAGCAGGATTTTAAATGAGGCTGGTAAGGGAGGCGTGCAAGTGAACACAAGGCAAACTGGGAAAGCTAAGACACTGGTTCTCATCTAAGCTTCCAGAAACAACAAAGGCCTCCAGACATCTTGATTTTAGCTCTATAAGGCCTCTACCTTCATCTTAAGATATGGCTGAAGACTTCATCTTAAGAAATGCTTTATAGAAAGTGTGTTATCTAGGGCATTAAGTCTGTTATACTTTGTTATAGCCGTAATATTAAAGTTAGACAAAATACTTATTAAATATATTGTGTTCCTGCATGCTGTATTTATATATATATATATATATATATATGCATATATATATGAAATATGTATGCTGTCCTTGAAAGGAAAATGTATTATTTATGCATGTGTGTGTATATACACACACAGCAGCATAAAAGATACATATGCATATATATATATATATATATATATGTGTTGTTTATATACACAATAACTTGATAGAAGTGTACATTTTATTGATGTTACAAATCTCTAAGTATGAGATGGCCTTCTACTCATCCTAAGAAATGCAGTGTCCCTATGAACTTGCTGATATTTACAATATATAACTGTATTATGGGTCACAGAGTGGGATCAGTTTCTCGGGTGGCTCTGGATTTCCCAAGAATACATATCCTACAAAATCTGTTTGTTTTTCCACTTCTGGAACTCAAATACAGAGCCCACATGTGCTGGGCAAGGACTGCTCCACAAGTCAGCGTTCTTCATTAGTAACTGCTGAACTGTGCAAATTTGCTTAATCTGTTATACTCTGCCAGACTATAATGACTAAATCCAAGGTCAAAGATTCTAATGTTTTTTATCAAAGTGTTTTAAGAATGTTTTAATGAGAATTTTAATTCATATAAGGCAATCCTTTTGAAATGTCATACTCTTTGTGGTATAACTCAAGGGCCAGGATTGAAACCCCTTTCAGTAACGACCTAAATAAATAAGTTCCTCTAGTTTTGTGGTCCACTTGAAAATGCAAAATCCATTTTTAGCTTGCACTAACTATTTTTGAGGGTTCATTTGACGGTCATATGCCTGCTTAGACCACCACTTTGTCTTGTGTCCCTACCTTCCAACTTGTACCCAGCCTTAAAATCCCTATCAAGTACATTCTTCAAGAAATCTTGTTTTCTTTCTTAATAAATTTTGACAATATATCGTAATGACGTCACTTCCCCCTTGCCTTTTCTCTCTCCAACGCCTCCTTTGTACTTCCCTTGCTTTCCATCAAAGTTTTTTGTTTGTTTGTTTGGTTGGTTGGTTGGTTGGTTTTTCGAGACAGGGTTTCTCTGTGGCTTTGGAGCTTATCCTGGATCTGGCTCTGTATACCAGGCTTGTCTTGAACTCACAGAGATCCTCTGCCTCTGCCTCCCGAGTGCTGGGATTAAAGGCATGTGCCACCAACACCCGGCTGCTTTCAATCAAAGTTATGGACTCTTTTTCTTCAAGTGTTGTTGCGAGTGTGTATGTGTGTGTGTGTGTGTGTGTGTGTGTGTGTGTATGTGTATGAGTGTGTACATTATACATATGTAATATACACATATAATACATGTAAACTAAATATATAAATACAGCCTGCTCAGTGCATATAGTATTACTTGTATATGTCTTCAGGGCTGACCAATTAGTGTTCTCCCCAAATTAAACTATGTCTCCGACTCTCAGCACACCTTAGTTCCCTGTGATTCTTTATCCAGATTCAGACATTGTCATCTTTTCTCCTTCCACATCAGCATGGCCACCCGGGTCGTCCTTGCTCGGCTCATGTTTAGGCAACTTTATGAAAGTGGCCTTAGCCACCTGGCACTTGTCCTACTTTGAAACTCCGCATCATCACATCCCTTCTCTAATTTTAGACATAATTAGTGACATCAGCCCAGTTGTGAAGCCTTCCAACACTTTCTGGGAGGAGTTCCATCACACATTTGACTTGATTATACTACCATGACATACCACAAAGTTACATTAACAGCTCAACAGACAGGTAACTGTTCAGTAGCCTCTACTCCTGGAGGTAGGCCTGACTAGTTTAATAATAGCATTTGGAGATGCAAATCATATAGCAACTAAAAACACTCAAAGTTTTTAAAACATAGTTGAATTTCATAATATTAAAATATGAAATTAATTCAAATTGAAACCCAACAGAATGCTTGCTACACTGTCAGGGAGGCTGGTAAGTAGTCGGGGATGTTCTTCTCTGTATATGTTTCTCATATTGGTTTGGTGAATAAAACACTGTTTGGCCATTGAGGCACGAAGATAGGTGGGACTATGAGATGAGGAGAATTCTGGGAAAGGTAGGCAGGGAGAGCCAGCCAAATCAGTCACCATGTAGACCTCAAAGGAGTAGCAGCTCCAGTTATTCTCCAGTAAGCCAAGACCACGTGGAAATACATAGATTAACAGAAATGGGTTAATAATTAACACAGAGCTAGCCAATAAAAAGCCCTAGCCATTTGGCCAACAGTTCTATAACCAATATAGTGTCCATGTGTTTATTTGGGGCTCAAGGGTGGGCAGGACCCGGGGAACAGGAAAATCTAGCAACAGATAAGAGAGCATGGTGGGGACCTGTTAGCCTGGCAGAGTGCAGGGTGCTCTGTGACCAGCAGCTGTCACACAATGTACTCACCACAGACTCAGCTCTGTCCATTCCTGGTCTTCTCCAAGATGACAAAAGCCTCTGATCTTCCATGTGTCTGTGATCCTGGGTTCACATTGTCCCACACCCTAAACTTCTCTCATCAAACAGAACCTGCCCACATACTCTGGAAACCCAGAGATCATGAAAGAGTTCAGTGTCAATAATTCAGAGAGAAGACTGAAACATCTTAGGGGATTTTAATATTTTTATCTAAATCTAATTTAAGTGACTGGGAGACAACGACAACAGAAGTCTCTTTAAACTCTGGGGCCATTCCACCTGACCCAATTCTATGGCTGCCTCTTGGCTGTACAGTTCTTGGCAACACAACCTTCTTAAGAAATAGCTGCTTCCCAGATAGAGAAGTGATGGCAGTGGTTATGATACAGTGAGTTCACATCCAACATACAATCATGCATAAGACAGGCTAAGCAGCATCCACGTGAGCTACACATATACAAATGTGCCCGTGACTCAGAACAAACAGCAGCGTTAGAATCGACCTCTAAAAAGCCAGACATGTCTTTGACTTCACACATGTATCGTGTTTTATTTGATTTTTTTTTCAGATAGAATTACCATAAGGAAGGAATTTACAGAAAATAGGAAACAGGCTATGTTAGAATGATCAAGTCATTTTTAAAATGCAATAGAAGGAAAACAGCAAGCTGAAAATACACGTGAAATTTTGTGACAAGGAGAAAGGGAAATATAGAATTCTTCCAGAATCATCGTCTGACTCCCCAGCTCTGGCAGTCGCAGTGACCAAATCAGCTTCCATGCACAGGTAGGTGAGCATGCCGCCTCACTGGCCATACTTACCCTCTTCTTTCACCCCTTCTTCTCTTTCCTCCACCATAATGGTGCCTCCTGCCTTTGCCGCTGGAGAAGCAGACTGCCAAGATATCTTGGGTTCACTCTCTGCAAACTCTTGGGTTCCCTCACTTGGTTCTTCCTCAGCAACATGGGTACAACTAACCTCTGTCAACTGAGATCCGTTGTCCACATCGACTTTTGTGATTTCTTGCTCTTCAATCTCAGTTTCCAAGGACTCTTCGACAGGAATGTGGAGTTTTCCACAGGTGTCATTTTCCTGTAGGTCCTGAGAGGAGGAGCTTCTGGAACTTCCCACAGCACTGTTCCCAGAGTGGGCTTCTACACATGCATCCGTAAAATCCTCTTCACTCTCACTAGAGTAAGGATGACTTCTAGATGAGATCGATGAAACGGTCTTAATATCTGCAAAAAGAAAAGTGATAACACCTTTGATATACCCTAAATTTATCAGTTGATAGGGAACTATGTTGGGAAGAAACATATAAATCTTTAACAAATATACCTTCAGGAAAATTGTTCACTTTCTCAGCAGATTCTATATTATTACCATGATAAAGAGAAACTTATCTATAAGCTACCAAAGTGCTTTGGTTTGGTTGGGTTTTACTTTTATTTTGCTGTGGTTTTATTGTGTCTTGTTATTTTGAGGCAGTGTTTCACCATGAAGTCCACACTGCCTTCACACTCCAGCTGTTCCAGCGACTACCTCCCGATGCTGATATTACATGGGTGTGCCCCCAACCCAGCTTATCAACTAGGAAAGTTTCTAAAAGATCACATTAATGGAAAACCAGCTTCAGGTTTGGATTTTCTTTGAGAACTTCTAGAAAGGCTACGAATATCTTTGTTATTAGAAATTTCAAATACTTATTTGTTTGTATAAGAACACATATTTACTTCTCCTGTTTAACTATAGTGGTAATGTCAATTATCTTTATCTGCTGTAAAATCTACCACCTTAGAACACTGTGGTAGATACCTGGATACCAGCTTTGCGCTTACAAAGTAGGTGGACATTAGTAAATGGTTTTAGGGAATATGAGTATGTAGATGAAACCTTTTTTGGAGTCCCTATAAACAAGATAGTAAAAGGAAGCTGTCTGAAAAGAAGGTATATTGAGTACCAGCTCCAGGAGAAACTCATAAGGGAGTTAGGAAGCCGGGCAAGAAAGGGAGTCAGTCAGTCAATGCCCTGTTTCAGTTATCAGCTTAACTCAGCTGGGAGTTGTCTTATGAGGATACAGTGAAATTAAGAGAGAGCTGGGTTTTCTCACTTTGAACCAGTAAGATATTGGCTATGGGCCACATTAAGGGGATATAAACTACCTGGTTTCTCCAGGCATTTTATGCCCAAGGGTGAAGTAATTCCAATAATCTAAGGCAATCCCTGGAAGAAGACAGGGTGGAGAAACTATGAGGCAGACCACAGAGCAAAAATAGAGGCCCCAGACACACTCCCAGATGGAGCCACAGATGTATACTAGAAACATAGAGTTGTCAAAAATGGCTTGCACGTGAACCCTAAAGGCTTGAGCAAACTCCCAAGAATGAACCTACATGTTGAATCTGTGTAAGGAAGAGGCACAATGTAAAAGTCCCTGATTATATTGCTTCAGACGAGAGAAACCCAAGTTCTTGTTTGCTTTTTAAAACAATTGCTCTGAACTCAAACTTATTTTATAGAAAATACTTTTTCTTTAGGGGGGTATCAGGGACCAAACATTAGGATAAAATATAATAGCAAGTGAGAGCCTCCTGTGCTTCCTAGTTTGCCGAGTTTCTTTCCTCTGTGGTTCACATGCACCTAGCTGACTTTTTTTTTTTTGATACTCTATGATAGCTACACATTTGACTGTGCCAGCTAAAGTAGAGCTAAAGATGAAAACTAAATAAACATTCCAGCCTTTCCTTCATCCCCCTGCTGTCCCTCCAGCTCTGTCAGCTCTCTGTGACACATCTTAGCAGTCTAAGTATGGCCACATAGACAAGCCAACACTTCCAAGAAGACTTAAGTGAGACTCAAAGCACCAAGACACCAGCTAGGAGAGGTTCCTTTAAGCAGCGACCTCTCTGAAGTGCTGTTCCTGTCATCAGAATGCCTCGGTAAGCACCAGGTGACTTCTGCAAGAGCACCTGACTAATACAAACTCGTTTCCATTCTCAAATCTCTCCCTCATCTCCTGGTACAGTTTACTCTCAGTTCTTGCTCCATTTCCATACAAACCACAGGGCAGGTGAGGGCTTAGGGAAAAAGCTCCAGGCCCATGCAGTAGGATTTCCATGATAAACTGTACATCTTCTCTTAGAAACAAGGCAAAATTTGTATAAAAACTTCCAAATAAAGCAACTCTTGAGACATATTTGAAATTGTTTGTCATTAGAATACAGAGGCTATTGGAGGAACAGTAGTAAAGCAACAGCGTCTTGCCTGATTCCATTTGTTACACAAAGCCCCCTCCCGCTGTAAGAGACCCTGTTGCTGATCTGCTTGGCCAGGAAAAGATCTATACTCAGTGTCAGTGTCCAAGGCTCTGCCAAAGTCAAGTGCATTTTCCCCACAGTTTACAGAACAGATAGATAACTGTGCTCATTTTCCTAGCAGTTGCCATCAAGAGCTCTCAGAAAGTGTGGCTGAAATCCTCTGACCATCAGGACCTGCTCTTCCTTAAGCCAGTGACAAGGGCGAGCTTGTCTTTTAATCCTTTCCATACTCTTCAGCATGAAGTGTACTTTAAAATTTGCTAGCTCCTTGGAGTCCTGGTTTTTACCTTGTTCTGTTTCTTTGTTGTTGTTGTTTAACCTAGAATCTAAAGATATCTTGGTTTTATTACACAACTTAAAGTGGTTGATTTTGATTAAACATTTCATCTAGCCCATGGGACCACAACTCTTCCCAACTATATTACCAGTGGTATCTTTCTTATTACTAAGTTTAAAAATAATCTTCACTTAACAAATGACTCTCTTATTTTCTTCAGTTTTGGCCAGGGCACATGAGTTCATATTCATATCCCTGCTTATACTCATGAGTTTGTGAACTATTTCTATCTCACACTAGGTACCAGGGCTAGGGTGGATACTTCACATACAATGTCTAAAGACAAGCAACTGGCACTCAGTGAACATTCTAGAACAGTGGCACCCAACCTTCTTGATGCTGCTACCCTGTATTTCAGTTCCCCAACCACGAAACTATCTCTTTCCTACTTCGTAACCGTAGCTTTGCTAATGTTATGAGTCAGTCATAACATAAATATCAGGTGTTCGAGATGTCTGATATGCTATCCCTGTGGGATTCACAACCCACACATTGAGCACCACTCTTCTAGAATGAATAGATGTTTTAAGATGTAGAAATACAAACTAAACTAATATATGAGATCATCGTTTGCTCTAAGATCAGGTATATGACCTCCAGTAGGTAATTATCACTCTCAGTGAAATATGTCAATTCACCAGGGAGTTCAATACATACATTATCTTATAAGAACATACCTACTGACACACAGCTATGACAGGAAGAAAGGCCCCAGATACAACCACCTTTACTGTGTCTGTCTGAACTTGCTAAGCTGTATAGTGAATTCAGTAGTGAGACCAGGAAAAAATCACGTCTCACAGTGCTGCCTAAATCCGTATGCATTTGTATGGTGACCTGGTCCATCAATCTTCTTCAGAAGTTTACTCAGTGACATCATCGCTACCTATACTCTGTGCGCTCAGACGTATAAAGAAGCCTGATGTGGTGGCAAGCGTGCTTCTGTTCCCAGCATGTGGGAGACAGAGAGAGCAGGATCTCAAGCCCAAGACCAGCTTCAGTCACAGTGAGAACACACACCAGAAAGACAAAACCAAAGAGAAAGAACTCACTTGGAAATATCGTATGGGAAGTAAGTGATGGTGGATTTATTCCCCTTTCTTGAATTTGCCACTTCCCGCCTCAGCAGTCAACCATGGGTTAAGGAACCCGTGGTATTAAGAAATGACTGACTGACAGGCTGGAGAAATGGCTCAGCAGTTAAAAAGTACTCACTGTGCTTGCAGAGGTCTTGGGTTTTGTTCTCAGCACCCACTGACCAGTTTACAACTATCTATAACTCCAGTTACAAAGCACCCAAAGCCTTTTGAGGGCCTCCACAGGCACCAAACAGGTATACCATGTGCTTGCATGCATGCAGGCAAACACTCATACACATAAAACAAAATGAAAATAAGCAAATAATGACTAGCCTTGCAAAACTAACACATAAAGTCTGTCTATACATTGTGTCTAATGTCTTCCTGGCTCTCCCCTATCCAATATGTGGGCACATTTCGCTGCAGTGCTCACAGCATGACAAACACAATGTCAGCACAGAAGGGGAAACCTTGTCATGTGCTTCTCTTCAAGTCCACGCAGAGTCAAACCAATAGGACCGAAATACACTGTGTACTTATATGAAATCCCCAAAAATATTTAAGTAAATAAATAAAACCCCCAAATGATAAGAATCTTAATATGAAGCTAATTGAATATTTTGTGACTCTGAGATTTTTAAGTGTATGACATCTACTTTATCAGACTGAAAAATACACAAATGAACTATTATAAGACAGATAAATGCTTCGAGTCTGGTTCTTTGAGTAGTCTCAGAAACAGCGCTGTCTGTCTCTTGGTCTCTAGTCTGTTTTTGCTGCCTCTCTCTTCTCTTCATGAGGAACTACTTAGCCTTTACCTCCATCCTGAGGCATTATTACCCAAACTGCCCATGAAAGGTGCGTTCCTGGTCACAGTGTTTTCCCCACCAGACTTACAGCATTCATCCTTGACAAAACATTTTCTGCTGGTAAATTAGTGTCTGGGGTTGCAAGCCCAGATGCAGGGAGCAGCAGCCGTCATTCCTTTTAAATGGCAGAAAGCTGCACACATCAGTCCTAGGGCAGGGTCGTCTCTGAGTTGGCTCTCCTCCGTCACTCATGGGCCACTGTGGAGTGTATTCATCAAAGTGTGCAGTGCAATTGTTAGCTGCCAGTTTAGAAGGGCTGACTTGTCATGAGAGTGATGGCCTGGGCAATCGTTTGCCCCTGGGAACAGGTGCAGGCAGGTTCAAATGAAACACATCCAAATACTAACAGCAAGATTCTTAATCATGTCAATAAAAGGGATGAACAGGTGTCTGGGATTCAGTGCCCAAGCTATGCCTCTTACACTTTTGTAGGTGAAATGCTGTATTTTCCATGAAATCCACAGCATGACATTGTCATCTTTAATAAATGCTATGTATTAGCCAGATGAAATCGCTAACTCTGACATGTCACATACAAAGAGGCATATTTTTGAGTAACACAAAGGAATTTGATTAAAATAAAGGGTCAGAAAGGCCTCCCAAATGGCCTCTGGGAAGCCATGCAGACAAGCAGTGAGATGAGTGTATCTCAGAGTATTTGCCATGTGGCAATATATGTGCCCACCCAGGACTGAAGGGGCCCTTGAGAGAACACTTTGATAATTCCATTATTGAAATGACAAGAGAAAATAGCCTGCCAGTTCAGGTCTGTCTCAGAAACTTTCCAGCATTTGTGAAGTGACTGTTGTGATAGTGCTCATCCCATAACTATTTAAAATATTAAATATGCTGCCTCTATGAAGTTCTCTGTGACTTCTTCAGTCAATATTCTAAGAACATTAATCATGAACATTAATCGGGGATCACGGGAGTAGACAAAGGACTTAGAAGGCATGACTTCAATAGGCCATTTAAAATATTTACAAAACCTCTTCTGATACTGTCTTTGCAAGAAATAGCAAAACAACACACTATCCTGGCTTTCTTAGCATAGTTTTGTGTGCTATTACTTTGTGTGATTTGAGAGACAAAATTTAATACATGGGGAATGCCTGACAACTGGCCTTCTATGGGATAGAGTTTAAGGGCTCAGAGTGAGACCTTGCAAGGCCTAGGGATGGAAAGCAACATTTATAGAAAGGAAAATCTAGGGGTATTCAGAAACTCTTGCTTTTAATTCCCCTTTGTAAAAACAAAACAGGCTGAACAAGAAAACAGAGACAGCAAAAGAATTCAAAAACCCTCTGAGCCATAAAAACTCCAGGAAACAAATTATTTTCACTGGGTCAAAAGGTTGTTTTAATTGTAAGTAGATGGATATGTTCTGTCTTTGAAGTTTTACCTTTTCTTCAAAGTACAGATTTTAAAGTTTGGTTATAATTGCAACTGAATTGCACATCTTTCCAGCTATGTGACTTTGGAATCATTTAAGTTCACTATTTGCAAGTTTGCGTATTGTAAAATGTGGGTAAAAGAGGGGAAAATACTAGCTTTTAAGGTTGTTTAAAGTGAATGGGGTAATTAACCCAACATATTTAGTGTAGACTCAGCACACAGTGGAGTCTTAATATGCAGGAGTCACCACGTGTGCCTCAGCACTGCCAGGTACTGGATGCCTTCCCAGTCAGGGACAGGCAGGCAGCAGCCAGCATCAAAATCTCCATCCCTTTCAGTTATTCAGTAATCATGGCTCACATGATCAAAGCTCTCCCTGCAAGGAAGATACAAGACCCTTCTCTTGGTGAGCACAAAAACTTATTTGTATCAGCTGTTTCTGTGGGTTTCTCCAGCCTGGTCTGAACCCCTTTGCTCATCACTCCTCCCTCTTTGCAACCGGACTCCAGAGTTCAGCTCAGTGTTTAGTTGTGGGTGTCTGCTTCTCCTTCCATCAACTACTGGATGAAGGCTCTAGGATGGCATATAAGGTAGTTATCAATCTCATTATCAGAGAAGGGCATTTAAGGTAGCCTCCCTAGGGAGCAGAAAGGGGATGGGATAGGGAGCCAGTCGGTGGGGGCAGGGGAGGAGGCTAGGGCAGGGGAGGAGGCTAGGAGGTTATATGGGGTTGACATGTAAAACAAGTTTGTTTCTAATTTAAATTTTAAAAAAAGAAAAGAGGAAAAATACTTATTATATTAGGAAAATCCAGAAAAATTGTGGCCTCCAGAAAGTCCAAAGCTTAGTCAACTAGATAGCCAAGGAGTTCATAGAATCTTTGTGAGGACAACCATAGCCTAATAATTTCACACTATTACAACAGACATGAAAACCCAAGTCATCTGTGTTCTGAATTGCTTATACTTATAGCCAAACATACTTTAAATATATTTACAGACAAGTCACTTGGATAATTTCTTTAAAAATACTGACCAGGATGAAACTTTTTTCTGTAAGATAACACCATTTTCTAATATATTATTTGGCTTTGAGTCGTAAAGCACTATAAACTAACTCCATACATATATTCAAAGACAAGACATTCCATTTTACACACATTTAGTGTAAGAAACTTAAAATGTAAAAATCTATAGAAAATATCCATCTCAACATATTAAATACTTAAATGTTTGAGCACTGTAATGAATATGAATGTCAATGTTGTTTGCAAATGTATGGGGTCATCTTCATTCTGCTTTTTTCTAATTGTGTTTTGTTCACTCTTTACCTTGGCTGTCTCTCCTCTCTCTCTCTCCTCTCTCCCTCTCTCTCTCTCTCTACTCTCTCTCTCTCTCTCTTTCTCCCCCTGTGTATAAGTGTATGGGGTGAAATAGTTTGAGATATAAGGATGTAAAAACTTTCTAGACAAAACACAGATCACCACAAACCTAATTTGAAAGCAAACAGACTAAGAAATAGGGTGGCTGGCTGGGACTCTTGGGTTAGGCAATTATGCATTTCTGTCTTATTAACACTACATAAAGTCAAGTTTCAAGCACACTGTGACAGACTTCTGCAACCTGCCTTGTTTATCCTCCTCGTCACTGTCCAAGCACACATCATCCTCTCGGCTCTCACTGCCACAGACATCTAGTGCCTTCTCTGAAGAGATTTCAATCTCCTTTTTTGGGCTTGAATTATCTCTTTCTCCTTCAGTGGGTGACTTGGATGTTCCACACATCTGATCTTCAACCTGATCCTCATCTTCAGCTCTCTCATCTTGACTTTCCTCATCTACTTCAAAATCTTCTTCATAGTCTGAAAGAAGAAACTCCACACTGTAACAATGAAAACAGAACCATGGGTGCTCCACCCATTTCACTCTAATGAGAACTCTGGCTCCATTGTCCACTCTTTTCTGGGTCTTTCTTTGCTGCTTTTGCACACAATTATGGAACAGGGAGGACTAATAGTAAATGATGAAAGACTGCATTCAGCTATACACAGCAGCACAAAAAGAAATGAAACCCTAAATGGCAAGGTTGGAAGATAACAGAGGCTCATTTACAAAGGGACACTACTACCCACAGTAGCCAAGATGGAAACTTTATATCAAAGAATAAATTAGAAGTCAATTGAAAATGAAGAAGACAGGATTACAATAATGGAAGTTAATCTGGAGACCTAGTGAGGTCATATTTCATATGAAGATTGATCAAAATATTTGGATATCAATGTAATGAATAGTGAAGCAGGAAAATTCAATTAATCACATCCAAAGGACCTGAGTGATAGTATGTGAATAGCATGTTGAGAACCTAATCGACACTGAGAAAAGATTTAAAGATAATTTTGTAGCTAGGCCAGAATAGGAACCATGTAGAGTGCTCATTCATACAAGGCACAAAACAATTACATCTTCAGATAAAAAACTCTACAAAAATGGAACATCGCTGTCCCAGTCTCAAATTTACTTCATCCCCTACAGGGAGAGAGGAAATTTGTACCAGAAAAAGCAAATTGTCACATCATATAAACTCCAGCTGTCTCTCGTGATTATCATTTTTCACCTTTCATATTTAATTGTTTGCTCTTTATTCCCCACCCAAAACTAAGAATCTCAAAGTGACAGCCTGCCACAGACAGACAGCAAGAGTCTGTCATGCAGAACCAATTAAGCAAGTAAACAATTATCTTCAATCTGAAAGATACAAGAAAATAAAGATTTCCCAATTTTAATGTGTTTTAGTTATTAGAAGATACCCCAGATTTTCCGTGGTGGAGCCTCCTAGCTAATGGCCTTGAGAACTGCCCACCCTAAGCAAATCAAAGAAAGTTAATTTTGAAATGAGTGCCCTATGCATAGAACATGTTTGTGCTATGAGAACAAAAGTGAGGTATAAATTAAGCAAAGCAGGCACACAGAGAAAACATGGGATTTTGCACACCTAAGGGATGTGTCTGTAAAACAGAAGTCATAGAGGAAATGAAAGCGTAAGGAATTTAGTTTATATCTCAACACACAAACAGTAAATAAACAGAAAATAAAGCGATTTGTATTCAAATATGACTGAGCAATTTGCAGGGCGATTTTTGGTATGATTTTACTTTTATTTGTGTGAGTGTGTGTGTGTGTGTGTGTGTGTGAGTGTGTGTGTATGTGTGAGTGTGAGAGAGTGTGTGAGTGAGTGAGTGTGTGAGAGAGTGTGTGAGTTGTGAGTATGTGTGTGTGTCTGTGAGTATGTGTGTGAGTGTGAGTGTGTGTGAGTGTGTGTGAGTGTGTGAGAGTGTGTGAGTGAGTATGTGAGAGAGTGTGTGAGTTGTGAGTATGTGTGTGTGTCTGTGTGTGAGTATGTGTGTGAGTGTGTGAGTGTGTGAGTTGTGAGTGTGTGATTGTGAGTGTGTGTGAGTGTATGAGTGTGTGTGAGTGTGTGGGTGTGAGTGTGTAAGAGTGTGTGAGTGAGTGTGAGTGTGTAAGAGAGTGTGTGAGTTGTGTGTGTGTGAGTGTGTGAGAGAGTGTGTGAGTTGTGTGTGTGAGTGTGTGTCTGTGTGTGAGTATGTGTGTGTGAGTGTGTGAGTGTGTGTATGTGTGAGTGTGTATGACTGTGAGTGTGTTTGTGTGTGTGTGAGTGTGTGTGTATGTGTGAGTGTGTGAGAGTATGTGAGTGAGTGTGAGTGTGTGAGAGAGTGTGTGTGTATGTGTGAGTTGGTGTGTGTGTATGTGTGAGTGTGTGTGTGTGTGTGTGTGTGTGTGTGTGTGTGTGTGTGTATCCTGTTCTTGCATGTAGACATCAGGTATCTCAACCTATCACACTCCATCATAAACCCTTCATTCTCTCCATCTTATTCCTTTGAGGCAGGGTGGCTCACTGAACCTGAACCTAAACGCTGGCAACAAACAAATCTCTAGGGATCCTCCTGGCTCCACCCTCCCAAAGTGCTGAGGTTACAAGTGCATATGACTATTCCCAGATTTTTACATGGGTTTTGGGAGGTTGAACTCAGGTTCTTTTGCTTGCAGAGCAAGTTCTCTTACCCAAGGGACCATCTCTCCAACCCCACACATTTATTATTTTGTAGATATTTTCTGCTAGTCACAAGATAAGCAGAAGCCTGACTGAACATGAGTGTATTATAGTGATTCTATCCATAGTAATAAATAGTAGTGAAATACGAGGTTTGGTATATCAGCCAGTCATGTGTCCTATACCCAGATAGAACATGCTTAGCCATGTGACCTCAGGAAATTTAACATCTTTAAGGTCCAGCTTCTTCATTCATGTCATGGCTAGCACAAAGCTGTGGTGCCATTAGAAGCAGCCCTACTGAACCCAGCCTGTGAGCCAATAGGTCATTAGAAACATGATGGATTAGTAGCAACAGCATTGTCACTGAGTAGTGGATGGGGTGGAATTGAACAGGAAAAGCACATGAAAGCATTATCATTTGGGAACAATACATATTACTGGAGGCACCCAATTTAAATCAGAGCAGTACAGTGAATATAATCAGAGCCAATACAGGCATACTTTAAAACGGGGCTAAAAACAGAAGGGACATTCAGGAAAGACAGAGACAGACCTGCATCCCACTTTTGGCAGGCTTTGTTTTCCCTCAAAACATAAGATTCAACTCTGCCCTAGCTCTGTGCTACCCCTGCCATCATGCCTAGGAAAGCCCAGTCCTCTATCAGACATCAGGCTTCCATTTTTCAAGAGCACAAGGCGAGTCACCTTTGTGTCCCTCACTCCTGGCTTAAACAAGAATGAGCCTGTGGCCTATGGCATGTGTTTGAACATTCTTCTGCTCACAGCTTCTGCTCCTCTCCCAAGTTCTTCTAGAATATTCAGTCCGATTGCTATCTTGTATTCCCACTTAGGAGGAAGAGCACCAGGCAATCAAACACCGCACAATGAGAGATTCTCTGAGAATCTCCTCTAACCTGGCTCGAGCTCCATGGTCAGCCACAGCCAGGCAGATAGCTGTGACTTGCCTTCAGTTCTCGACGGTGCTCATGGAATTGGCAGTTAAAACCCATTAACTCACCAACACAGAAGACGGACCTAAGGTAAAAGGGCAGGGTCCTAACACAGCCATGTTTGTAAAAGAGGAAAACAAGGGGAAAGGGCCTCAGCCCGGCCTCTTCAAGCCTCCTGTTTTAGGCTGGAAAGCAGCTCTCTGTAACCACTGCAGCAACACCGGATGTCTTAAAGTCCTCAGTCTGGGGAAGAGTATAAAGTGGGTGGGATTGTAGAGAAGTGAGGAGGGTGCCAGCATCATAAGTGAAATCCCGGGTGAAATAGCCCCATGATCTCTGTCATCAACAGAGGCCCAGTACTCTGGTTTTGTTCTAAGATTTCTGAAACCCTTGGCAAGCAACATAAGGAAACTGATTCTAAGAGGCCAGACCTTTCAGGGCAAACCCTGGCCTGTGGCTACTGTTCCTCTGAGACAGCCTTCCTGTTCTGTGTGTAAGGAGACATGGATGCCTCTTCCTTATTCCTTAGGAAATAGCACACACAGCCATGTAGTACCTGAGTGCATTGGTACGGAGAAGATGTTTTGATGTTTGAGAGTAGATACACACAGGTATGGGTCTGAGCTCTGTTACAGTGTCTATGCATGAGTGAGATCCATCTTCCATCCTGTAAAGTGGAGACAGGAACAAGCCTTTCACATAGAAGGGGCATGTGAGTGGAGAGAGGGGCAGCTCCTGGGACACCGCCCACTGCTTGGAGGCTGGCAATGTCATCCTGTTACTTCCACTGTGCAGGTGTGTGAGTGTATTTCCATGCATGTTGATATTTGTGTGGGGAGAGGACGAGATAGAGGAGTAAGAGATGAGAAGGAGGAGAAGAGAGTGGAAAAGAAGGGGAGAGGAAGAGGCAGGAGAAGAGAAAAGAGAGAAGCACATGACAGACAGGCTCTGAGACACCGAACTGAATACAAGCTGCTCTCAGGGTGTAACCCCCCAGCACCACATGCTTATAGAGAGTGTACTTACCAACCCTGATGTGGACAGTCATGCTACTCCTACAATTGTGTTCAAAATCTAGATAAATAGACAAAACTCTGTTTGTCCAAATGGTCTCTACAAGAATGAATTCTGATTCTGGACAGAAACCTCCTTATATCCTCCCACCCACAGAAAGGACCTCAACACTTCTGGGACCAGGACACCTCTCAGAAAAAGAACCTGGAACTCCATAGGGAACAGTAAGAGAACCACAGTACGGCCGTCTGCAGATCAGCTAAGCAGCCTCCACAGATGGTTCTCAAAGATTTGGATGGTATCAAAGACGAGTCAACAGCAACAGCAAGGAACTCTGCCCCTCTTTACCATATTTGAAAGTGTTTTCCTGGTCCTCTTCCCAGACTTCTTGTTCTGACTTTCCCTTCCATTCCATTTCCTCTATAGCCGTCCTCACTTCTCTGACTCCTGATTTTATCTCCTCCGCTGAGAAGGTGGCTGAGATGGAGTTCTCCCTCCCCTCCGTCTCGCCCCTCCTCATTGACGCGTTCTCTCTGTCCTTCCTCAGTTTCCCCTGGCTCCTCTTCAGTTGCTCCTCCTTTTTCTCAGAAGTCTTTTCCTTCCTAGGTTTTGTTTGAGATGGTTTCCTGTCAAGGCCCATGGCAATAATGCACCTGTAAGAAATACCAGCAGGAAGGTTTTATTAACCTTTATAGTAGGTTGGCAGAGTCACACACTTTATAGCTCATGTATTCTAAAAGAAAAAAACTATGAGAAATATTCTATTTGTGTGCTCATACGCTGATTTAAAATGAGCCATTTTATTTTAATATGAAAATCTTTTGGGGGGTTTCAAGACAGGGTTTCTCTGTAGCTTTTGGAGGCTGTCCTAGAACTTGCTCTGTAGACCAGGCTGGCCTCAAACTCACAGAAATCCACCTGCCTCTGCCCCTCCCCCAAGTGCTGGGATTAAAGGGGTGCACCACCACCACCAGGCTGAACATATATTCTTAATTTTAACCACAATAACAAAACATTTTAAAACTCATCATTAACTGAGAACTACAGTATCAAATGTTTACAGAAATCACATCTTGAAGCAATTATATATATTTATATATATATGATATAGTAATTTATATATAAGTATATAGGCACATAGGTAGTGGTCCAATGGGTAGAAGATAGATAGATAAATTAGATAGATAGATAGGTAGATAGATAATAGACAGATAGACCAACTGTCCTTAGGTGCTGGAGACATGGCTTAGCAGTACAGAGTTCCTCATGTTCTCATAGAGGACTAGCAGATGCAAGTTTGGTTCCCAGAATATGAGTTGGGTCCCTCATAATCATCCAGCTCCAAGGAATCCAATATCATCTTCTGGCCTCTGAAAAGATGTGCCATACACTTGCATGTATACATACATATACACATAAAGATTAAAGGTTTTAGACAAATATGCAAATAATCAGGAAAAAAGACACTACTGTCTTTGAAATTCATTCTAAGAACATATTAACAACTTGCATTTAAGGTCGTTTCAAAATGTGTGATTAGTGTTGAAGAAACAAAATCAGTCTACTGTTAGTGTTGTTCCCTTTAAGTACTGTGGGAGTCTGTGTATTTCTTTCCACAGAATTTCCGGGATTGATTTTAAGAAGTGTCTTTTGAAGCCCTTCTCTGCAATCTTCCGTGGATTCACTGGTGATAAGCTTTTGTTCATCAAAAATGAAAACAATATATAGAAGTCATTACAAGTCAAATTTGGTGAGCCACCTAGATGTTTTGGATGTATTATCATGAAGATTTCAGTCATAACACAAGTAGTTTGAACACACTGTCACATGTATGTTGACAGCATAAAAACTCCAATACTGATAACACATGGACAGAAATGATTATGATGACAACTGGTCATTGACATTTCCCCTGTCTGTACCCAGCTCTTTGCTATGCATTCAAGGTACAGTATTTTTTTAAAAAAGAATTCTTTTGTGTGATTGTGCGAGGCTTAAATGTGGGTACCTGTACCAATAGGTGCAGGTGCCCACAGAGCACAGAACATATCAGATTCCCTGAATGGAGTACAAGCAGGTGTGACCTTCCCGATATGGGTGCTGGGAACAGAACCCAGGCCCCCCAGAAGAGCAGCAAGTGCTTTTAACCACCAAGTCACCCCTCTAACCTCATAACCAGTTTCTTAAGGGATTCAATACCCAGCATTATAATACATTAAGACTTATCACCATTGTACAAATGGAAAAACTGAGGCAGGAAAGGTCCCATGGTTTCCCAGAGATCACTCCACAAATTAGTGATGGAGCACTGTGTAGGGAGATATCCCAGGCACGTGTAGTGTTGACCACACCCCCTCCTGTCACCAGCTGAAAAGGAAACTGAGCCGCATGCTGGATAAGGGGTATAGTTGGTTATTTATTATGGGAAATTACTCACAAGAGAAGCTGGTAACCCAGGTTAGCCTCTGCAGCCTTCTGAGACCCAAGCAGAAAAGAAAGAGAGTGTGTGTCCCTGTCCCCAGTCTTTTATTCCACCCACCTACCATGTACCCGTAACCACGCCCCAAATGGTACCTGGGATATCTCCCTGCAGCACTGTGACTGTCTCTACTCCACTGTACTCTACCCCACCACACCACAGAGTTCTGCTGCCACGTGTGGCCCTACAAGGATGAGTGACAAGCGGATTCCTCTCTGCTGGGCACACCAGGGACCTCACTCACATGTTCCCACTGGGAAGGAGCTGTCACTCATCTCTACAATCACCCCTCTCAAAACCATGAGTGTCCCTCTCTCCCTGCCACACAATCTCAGGACTGCATCACCAGTGGTGGTGGTGAGCAGGTCACAGGGGGCCAGAGCACAGTCCAGGCCAATCAATACAAGCAATGCTAAAAACCGGAAACTGCCTTGACCTGAACAAATCCAAGAGCAATTTCTTATGTACTTACCATGTATATATGTGCATGTATGAATGTGTTTATGGTGTGTGTGTGTGTGTGTGTGTGTGTGTGTATGTGTATGTGTGTGTACACACACATGCCATGGTATGTTTGTGGAAATCAGAGAAAACCCTCCTCATGTGTTGCTGTGTGCCTTCCATCTATACACCAGGTTAACTCCCTACAACCTGGGGAGCTACCAGTCTGCCAATTCCATCTCACTGTAAAAGGAAAAACATGTGCAGCCTCATCCAACTTGGTGGAGCTTCAGTGCACCACTGAGGTCCTCATACCTGGGCAGCCACTGAAGTATCTCCAAGCACAAGTGCAATTTCCTAAACTCAAGATTTTACTGAATTTTCAGCCATCGTCAGTCTTTGAGTAGCATGGAAATTGCTCTTAATCAATTTCCCCAAAGAAGGAAGAACTGAGTTCTTTCACTAAACACTTCAACCTCTCCCTGTGTGATGACGCTGAGAGGGCTTGCCCTGCATGTAAAGATCAGACGTGAGGGGTTGAGAGCCAAGCATCTCATCCAAATTAAGCATGATAAGGGCTTTTCCCATCACCATGATGTGTTTAGTGCGTGGCTTTCCCCTGGATAAAGACACCACACATCTTCACAGGATTTCCTTATTAGCCCCACCTTCTGTGCAAACATTTCTTCCTTGATCGGTGGCAACGGCAAACCCAGGGCCTGAAGCCTATGATTCGCTGTTACTTTGAATGTATGTTGTGGCTGCATAAAGGCCTGGAAACCTCCCTATTGAAAGCTCGGGCTTTTATAGCCCATCTGCCAAAGGGAATTGGACAAAGTGAGTAACATCTGCCTCCCCCGTCATTGACTCCCTCTTTAACTTCTGAGTGTAAATTCAAAGTGTTGGTTCTGACTATTGGAGCTCAAATAAATTACTGGAATATTTGAAAACATCTCAAGTGGAGCGGAGTCAAGTAAACAGGACTCTAGACTTGGCCTCCCATCCGTATGCATTTGTACTACCATGAGAGGACGTTTACCTCAACAGTGACAGGGAGACAGCAAAGGAGACTACTTCAGATATTCACATTGCAAGAAGTGATTTTGACACTAATAAAGAAAAGTGTAAGTGATTTACTTACAGCTCTTAGAGAAATAGTTACACTTTTTTTATATTCTTGGAAAGAGCAAGAGAATAAATAGATAGGTCGCATGTTAAAATCATTGAATTACAGAGGGGCTAGAAAAGTCTGAGTGGGAGAGTGGTTCTCAACAGTCAGGCAGTGTTGGTTGTTGGTTCCTAGTCCTTCAAAGAGAGAACTCAGGGCTTAGTGGTCCAGTTTGCAACTATATAACACCTCACAGAGGAATATTTCTGTATGTTGGTTACTTTTCTGTTACTGAAATAGAATCCCCCAGTGAAAATCAACACAGGGGAAGAAGGGGTGGACTTAGCTAACAGTTATAGATGAACAGAGACCAGCATGGCAAGGAGGCACTGCCAGTCAGAAAGCAAAGTCCTCACATTCCAGTCATGCAGGGAACACACAGGGCAAACAGGAAGTGGAGGCAGGATGTAAAACCTCAAAGCCCTCCCCTAGTGTCACAATTCCTTCAGGAAGGCTCCTTTCCCTGAAGGTTCAATTACCATTCCAAACCAACTCCATGTGTTCAAATACAGGAGCCTAGCAGGGGAACATTTCTCATGTAACATCCTGTCTCCACACAGATGACTGGGTGTAAACTCATTTATTTTCCACAGAGTTCAGTGGGAATCTCTCAAATGATTTGCATACAAATAGGGCATCTGAACAGCAAACAGAAGGCTGTCCAGGGGGTGCTAAGCCCATGTGGACATTATGGACCTTTCACTCTCCTAGTCCCAACCTCTCGTGAGAAAAGATTCTTTCTGTTTCATTATGTTTTTTGGTGTGTGTGTTCCATTGGTTTTTGTTGTTTTGTTTTTTCCTTTATCAAGACAGGGTCTCTTTGTGTAACAGCCTGGCTGTCCTAGAACTCACTCTGCAGACCAGGCTGGCCTCGAATTCAGAGAGATCCACCTGCCTCTGCCTCCCAAGTGCTGGGATCAAAGGTGTGCACCATCATGGGCCTGGCAAGAAAGTATTTCTTATTCTAGAAAACAGCAGGACTGGACAGAGCTTCCTAGGAGAGGCCATCACCCAGATTCTAACACCCACTGCACAGCTGTCTCTTCTCTGTTCATCAAGACTGAAAATTCTACTTGAATCCTGGATCCCAGTTTCTCAAATCTACCAAAGGGTTAAACTCTATGAACTTCCCTCTTTATGTATCTTCAAGTTCTTCCATGTATCGGTATTACCTATCAACATAAATTCATGCCACAATATCCCATCTTGAAAACTAAAAAGTCCTTCAAACCCTATGCAGTCCTGGGAACCAAACTGCTGTAGAAATATTATTCTAAATTGTGTTATTTTTGTTTATGCCCCGGAACATTTGTTTAATGCTGCAAAGATGTGTTTGATTAAATACAATTCACCTGCAGTCAAGAGATTGGGCCAGCAACTAGCTGACAGGAAGTAGCAGGGTGGAGCCAGGTGGAGAAGGGTTTTAAGGAGGGCGAGGAGGTCTTGAGGGCTTCTGAAGACACTGGAGAAGGAGGTGAGCTACTTGCTATTCACCCTCTCTTAGGAAGAGAATTTCCACCTCAGCCTCTGAATCTTGAGTTCTTTAGAGGGACAGAGATTTAGATAAGTTCCCTTCACAGAGTTGGCGCATGAGGGAAGAGAATTCCTTCAGGCTGTGGCTCTTGCGGCTGACAGCAGCAGAGTTGCAGTGGCTGACTCAGGCAGCCATGGCTTAAAAGGCAGCAACCGTTTGAAAAGAGGACAACACCATACAGTTACCACATTTTAAAGGAGGATTCCCTGCAGAAAAAGTTTTCTATAATGTGATTTCACTAGTTGCCCTGTGAGGCCACTGTGACCCAGCTCCCCACCCTGCCACCCTACTTGCATAACTTGTCTCAAGACCACCAATAAGCATCCCCAAGTTGATGGCCAGGCTCCTGTGGGATGGGTAGCTTAGACTGTCAACCCGAGGGGATTAAGCATCTGTAGTATCAGTGAGACTCACCTTCGTGTACATGTAAGGACTTTTCCAAAGAGAATTAACTGAGTGGAGGGAAAGACTTGGAAATAGGCAGGACCATGCCACAGGCTAGGGTCTGATTAGCACTGTAGTCCATCTCTCTGAATCCTGGCTACGGATACCTCTGCACACTCCTGTTGCTGTATGTCCCTGACCATAATGACCTTCACCTCACATCCTGGGCCAAACTAAAACCCTTCCTCCCTCCAGCTCTTGTCAGATATTTGTAGGAGAAACTGCAGCCAACCTACCCAAGCCACAGGTACCCAGGCCAGCCTACATGAGCATCGGAGGCAGGCACTTCCTCCCTGAGCCAAGCTTCCCTCTATGCCCAGAGACTGCTGACAAAGAGACACCTGACCCAGAAACACCAATGAGGAAAGGACAACACAGCAGAGTCAGCCTCCTGAGCCAATAGGAGCTTGGTGGGGGTATAAAGGCAGGTCTAGCTTTTTTAATAAACAAGTCTGCAGCATGCTCTGCTACTCACTGACTCCTGGTGCCTAAATCATTGGTGCGTCGTCTTCTCACCCCCTCCCCCAAGGGGTGTCCGAGCAGGGTCACCGGCAACAGACAGCAGTGTGAAAAGTTGGCACACCTGTCTTCATTGTACTAACATGCAACCTGTCCACGCCTTTGACTCCATTAGCCACTGCCTTATTCTTCAACCATTTTATTTCCAAGATAATCCTCCCTTGGGGTTCACTTTCAAAAAGTGACTTTCCCCTTCTCCCTGGGACAAAGCTCACTTGTCACGAGTCCTCTTGATCTTAAGAGCCCGTTCCATCCCATGACTCTACTGCCACCACTGTAAAGCTATTCTCAACTCTGCTCTCTCCCCGCACTTCAGGTTTGGTACCCAGCTGGCTACTCATCAATACTGACATTTGCATTGTCTCACAGAAGTCTAAAACCCCTTTCTTCCACCTGTCCAATTGCATCTTCCACAACTGATCTTGAGTACACACTAAGTGCACATATTTCCAGTCGCTCAGAACAAACCCCTGTTCTTTATTTTTGTGTTTGTCTTTTGGTTTGGGTGTGAGAAGGGGGTCCAGCACCAAGTGAACATGGGTTGTGTGAACAGAGCAGGACTTGGGGTGTCCATCTCTGTCCTTCTTGAGACAAGGTATCTCGATGAACTGCAGGCTCATGTTTTGGAGGCTAGCTGGCCTTCAGAGTCTTGGGATCTGCTTGTCTCTGCCTCCTAACACTGGCATTACAGATGCATGTCCATGTTTGAATTTTGTGTAGGCATTGGGGATCTGAACTCAGGTCATCATGCTTGCACAGCAGGTGCTCTTACCCACTGGGCCATCTCTTTGGGCCTTAGAACAAACATGTTGGAGTCATCTTTGACTCTATTTTCAAATGTATGCCTGGGCCCAGCTGTGAGTAAGCCTTATAAACTCTACTATCAAAGCATACAGCAAAGTAAATCCCTTCAGTTCTTCCTGCCATTCCCGGCTTCCTGGACCACAGCAGCTTCGACTCTTCTTCTTGATCTTGTCAAGTCTTCCCTTAGAAGCCATCATGGGATCATAACAGAGCCTCACCCAGCACCTGCTTTACAGACTCTAACTTCAGAGTCAAAGCCAAAGGCCGTGGAAGGACTCCGGGACTTCTGGGGACTCATCCCCACTGCCTGTCTAGCCTCTTCTAACATTATGTCATTCATTAATTTGCTCTGATCACACACATTGAACACACCAAGAACACTGCTTCCTCTGCCCTCCCCATAGGCCTTCTAGCTGAAAAGCTGGTTTCTGCCCAAGGAAGTCATAGGGTTGCTTCTTGATAATGTCACATTGGATGGGCAGCCTTCCCCAACCTGGTACTGCTCCTCCAGTAAATCTCATGCCTTGGTTTTTTCCCTCTTTTGTGATTATTTTTATGAGACCTGTATTGATCAGATTACTAGTATCTTGTTTCCCCAGTGTCATTGTTTCATGAATGTATGATGCTTAGGCGATTCTTCAGGAATATTTTGAGGAAAAAGCAAACAAAAAGAAGCCTCTAAGTATGAGTCCAGACTCAGACAGGCTGCCCTGCATAAAAGGTGATATAAAAGAGCAGTCATTACACCTAATATCTAAACCAGGGCAAGGAGATAAAATTAGGTAACCTAGGAGTGTGGACATTTTTCCAGCTGGTATAGCCTGCAGTATTCAGACACACAGGCAGATGACTGCATACCATATAGGTGTGTGGGGGAAGGGGTAGCCTCGGGCCTTTAACAAGAAAGAAATGAAGAAAAGTGGAATTTAAGTCACTGTGAGGTAAAAGAGAGGTGAGAATCAAGACAGAATTTAAAATGCCACAGCCTTTATCTCCTCTATATAACACATCTGGAGAACTGGTTTATGTTTAATAATTTCAATCAAACATCCATGGCTGTAGTCCACACCCTTCAACTAGGGCTTTTTAAGAACTGTGCAGAGTAGAGCATCACTGAAGGGACACATGGCAAAGTGGCCGGTCACTCTAGCAAAGGGCATGCTGATGGGGGAGGTTCTTCTGTGTATGTTTATCTTATTGGTTGTTGAATAAAGCACTTTTGGCAAATAGGGAAGCAAGATAGGCAGGACTAGGAGTCGAAGAGGATTCTTGAAAATGTAGTAAAGAGAAGTCTTGTGATCCAGGCAGGAAGTGACATAGCCGGCTGACTCAGAATATAAGCAGGGACAAGCAGGAAATCTCTCTCTTCTTCCTCCTCTCTTCTCTGTGGGGCTGTCATGTGATCGCCCAGCAAGAGAAGATGCATGCCACAGGCGACCTCAGTAAAATAAGTCTTTATAAACTATATAGATTAATAGTTATGGCTGATAATTAAGACCGATCTAGCAGATAAGAAATCTTAGTCATTGGCCAGCAACATTGTATCTAATATAAGACTCTGTGTGTTATTTTGGGCACTCATGTGGCAGCGGGGCTCAGGTGTCTGGAAGAAAGTTATCTTTACAGGTGTGTGTGTCCATACCTGTAGCATGGAGATGCCTTCTCCACGCTCACAAACCCAAAGTAGCCTCTCTTGCCTCCGAGCCTGGAGCTCCTGCGGTGCTTGTACTCGCAGCAGGAACTGAGCCTGTTCACCTGAATCCCATTCAGAAAGAAGGTGAGGCTGAAAGGGAAGCCATGGTGCCGTTTGGAGATGAACTGAAAGATGTCTGGAAAGCAAGAACACGCATTTCTGAGAGCACCCGCCTTCATGTTGATGCCTTATAATTCAGTTTTCTTTTTTAAAGATATATATTATGCTACAGAACATACATTTTATCTGAGGACTTCTTTTCAGTACTAGTGTGAAACCAGGACCCCACATGAGCTGGACCCATCTCTGTGCTGCCAAGCTCAGTTGGTCAAAAGCTTCACTCTGAGCAGGTGAGCCCTACCTGGATCCCAGAGACTGTTGTCTCTCAAAAGCCAAGGGTGGGGCTCATGCTTATTAACCCAGCATTGGGGAGGCAGAGACAGGTGCATCCTGGAGCTCACTGCCCAGCCAGTTTACCTTACTTGGTGAGCTTCAGGGCAGTGAGAGACTCTGCCTCCAAGAAAGCAAGGTGGGTGGCACCAGAGGAATGACACCAAGGTTGTCTTCCAGCCTCCACACACATCCACACATGCTTGA